TTTTTTTTTTATTATTAGTTGAAAACCATTGTGTGAAATATTGTATCAATACTTTTTCTTTGATCTTTCTATATTTAATTTTTTTGAAGGTAATTTGATTAATTTGAAGATGTAAATAGATAATCGTGGTAAGAAAATGTTAATGAATATTAGAAATTTGATGTAGAAAGTTATTAATTATTGTAAAGGATTTGGTTTATTATTAGTTAATTCCATATCAAGATAGAGATCTTTATTCTGACATTAATCATTATTGTATTATATGGTTTTACTTTTTTTCTTCTCTGTTTTTTTTTATCATGAGTTGGAAACTTTTGTTGGTAGAATTTTGATATTTCTGTATTGTTTATTTTATATTTCGATGATAGTTTGATTAATTTGAACATATAATTCTATGAAAAAGTTATTAATGAATGTTGTTGGAAGCTTGATATAGAAAGCTTGATATACAGTGTGTTTAGGATAATAAAATGAACGAATTAATTAATTATTGCTTTAAATATTGTTATTAAAATTTCAAATAAAATAATTTTAAAATATAAATATACTTCATGAATTAATATAAACTGCTCATCCACTATTTATTTGTGCAATTTCATTCTTTTTTAAATACATTAAAATTATAATTGTTACAAGAATATATAATTTTCATGATCACAGTTTATTATTCAAAATTCATTGTATTCATTACTTTCTTTTAAGAATCAATACATTGTCGATTCTATCTTGGAAATTTCATTTGTTCAATATCATTCACGTTACTTTCGTATTTATGGTATTATGAAAATTGAAAAACAATTTCTCGATCGTAACGAATGAATTTCATTGTAACAACTTTATAATAAAGAGGAAAGGTTTTCGATGCGGACTATATCGTCCCATGAGAGGGATCTTAAAACGAAAAATTGGTTTGGTTGAGCAAAATACTTTTTCTTCTTTTAGTAGGATAGAAACAATAATGTTTTTCACGTTCATGTTACAACTTACAATTCTTTTAGAAAACATATTTTTGAAGTGCTTTTTGATAGGTGAATAAAACCAGATCAATCGAGTTATTTATATATGATTTATAGTTGAAATCTTATAATGCATATTTATTATTTTTTATGGTTGAAATATTTATTTTATAATTTTTTTCTTAGTTTTGTTTCGAAGATAGTTTGATTAACATCTTTATATATTACAAAAGATTATTTAATTTTTTTCAATATATTATCAAAATTAATGAAATATTTATTAGATAAAAGACTATTAAATAAATAAATTATAACTAAACAATAATTATATCTGCAATTTTCATTTTTATTTTTATAATAATCCGTTCTTGTATCAAAATTTCATTAAACAAAAGAATACTTCACAGCTTCTTTCTTTAAACTCTTTCAACACTTTGACAATATAGATCTATCGTTCCTCTTAATTTCTTATTTAATTAAACAGAAATTATGTAAATAAAAAAATTAATATAAAATAAATTAATAAAATAAAATTATTTCACTAACTATAAATATATATATATAAATTCTACTATTTATTTAGTATACCTATATCTTTTTCACCTGGGTAAAAATAATTATTCACAGAGAAACTTTTTAATAAAAGAATAACCAAGAAATTTCTCGCCTTATAAGAATCTTACAAAACGATCGTTTGCAACTAATAATACAGTTTGTTCCATTAATTCAAAATTGCACGAAACATTTTATCTCATGATTGATCATTAGCTCTTTTGGTGACGCTCATTTTGTTGTAATTTCTGCGCAAAACGTGGTTGCATATTAGGAGAATATACACGCTAGGAAGGTTTCCATCCATCCATTTCTTATGCGGACGTTGAAATCTCCGTATATATTCGCTGAATCAGACTTGTCAGGCGTTGAAATCCTCGCTCTCGAGCTTTCTAAAATTCTTCGATACGCTTCCATCGATGAAGGAAACTTTAAGGAAATAGAATCGTTTAGAATTCGAAATTCTCTCTTATCGAAGCTCGTAAACCTCGAGTTAAGGGAATGTAAAGAGAAAGACTAAAAAAGGTCTGAAAATCGTTCTGTATGTATCAGGAGAACATGTCAACTTGGAAATAGGTTTAAAGCAGTTAAGGATTTATTTAAGATTCTTCTTGACAATTGTTTTTCAATATTCTATCATGTATTTAAATAATGATAGATAATTTTTATGAGAAAAAGTGCAAAATATTTTTTATCTATCTATTGACAATATGGTATAGTTTAATGATAGTAATTTATTTTTAAGATATTTATTCTATACAAGGAAACATAAATAAATATAGAATATTCGCGCGAGAGGAAAAAAGTTGCGCTAATTTTACAGCTAATACAATGCTAAGCATACGATTTTTAATGCGATTTATAGACTATACATATTTCGGCAATAAATATCGATTATCGAAGCGAGCTTTCAGCTGTGGTGAACCACAGTATATTGAGCTTCGCGAATCTATATGACGTATGGCGCTAAAATGAGGCCGTAATACAATATATTAAATAAGTATAGTATAATCACTTCTCAAAACTATGCTACAATAGTTTAAAGAGCATATAAAACTCATATAACTTGCATTTAATCGATTTTTTTTTTTTTTACATGATTAAAAAGCACATAATCGTCAAATATAAATCTTTTCTTTAAGATTTCATTATTTGTTCATCAAAATTTTGAACAAGTTTCAGTCTTGTACAAAAATATATTAAAAATCAAATATACGTAAAATATTTTAATAAAAACATTTACTTGTTCCTTCATAAAATGAATAAAATTGAAATCCATCTATAAAAAAAATCCCCAATAAAAAACTTCAAGCCAATTACTATTCACGACTAACGTATAAACGAAAATACTTTATCTAAATCGTAGAACTTCCTTTTCCTTCCTTTTCCTTCCACTTCTTCGTTCCTCCACGCCTCGAATAACTTCAAAACCAATTCTAATTTCGAAAAAGGATCTCGGTTACCCGCTCGCGCGAACTTTAAACTTTACCTCGAGGTAATTTAAGCTGCTTAATAATTCGAATCAGTCCGACCAAACAAGATGTTTCAAGGGCGTTAGCCACTCAGAATTCCTCGTGCCTCGAATCGTATCGGACAGGGCCTCCCTTATCAAGATTTCGTCCGGTAATCCTGAAGAAGCAGCCCCTCCCCAAATCTCCACGCAACGAATTAATTAAAGTTCTTCTTCGAGTTTCAACCACTTTTCGCCGCTTCGCATTTTTCATCTCCCCTCTCTCTCTCCTCAGTCAATTTTCAACCGTGTGCTCTTAATTAACTATAGTCTCTCCCCGGGGTTGAGCAAAGCTCGCGGAACGATCGAGTTTAAATAATATTCGCGGTTCACCGCGATATTCGAAGCGTTGCTCGAACTGTGTTTAAACAATTTGCATGAAACAGGGGATGCAAATTAGAGGCTTGCTATTTGGGAACTGGGCGGCGGTGTAAGGGTAACCGAGTGTTTTCTCGTTTCTTACTTTGGATTAATTGAAGTTTCCGGGAGAGAGGGAGAATTCGTTTTAAGTTAACTAAGAACAGGAAAAGAAAATCGAGATTCTATTATTCATATTTTTTTTGTATATTTTTGTATTGATAGGGTATTTTTGAGAAAAGTTTAAGAGATACCAAAATCATTAAAATTGTACGATCAATAAAGAAATATTTAATTATATTTAAATATATTTTTATATTATTTTCTAAGAAAATAAAGTTTCTGAATTCTGTGAGAATCTTGACGCTTTATTGGAATTTTTGATGGATTAGGAGGAAATTTTCAAGGAAAATTTTGATCGCTTAAAGGATCATCGTAAAAATTCCAATCTTCGTGAACCATACTTTTTTTTTTAATCTTTTTTAATTTCAATTTGGAATACATGAATAAAGTAAGTATTGATTAAAGTATTTTATAAAATTCTTATTATTTTTTATTATTTTTTATTTTTAAGAAAAATTTTTGGTACAAATTGATGATCAGTTAATTATTAACATTTGAAAAAAGAGAAGATAATAATAATAATATTGAATGGTAAATTATTTTTAAAGAATTTCAAGGAAAGAATTTCTAATTATGTTTGAGATCCTTATAGTTATTTTTTTTTTTTTTTTTTTTTTTTT